TAAAGAATAAAGTCCACCCAATTATTCGTTAACAATTAAAAAAAGTAATGATGAAAACACTAATGATGTCATTCCGTAAGCACACTTCTTTTTAAATATAAAATTTATTCTTGCTCTAGAATTTCCTGCCTTGGAGTACGTTTGAAGAAAAGTACTGCTTCTCTACAATAGGGTTCTTTTCATACAGAATACAAAGCACTATTTTTATAACTAACTTATAACTACTCTAAATTATAAACATTTTACATGAAAAACCATGGAGAAAAATACTAAAATAAGACCCCCCAAAATCATTACTGACATAAATACCTAGTAAATCAAAGGAATTAGCTTTACTACTACAATAGAACCTTGACATGTATGAATTTACTAATATCTCTACCAGAGCAGTACTACTCAGAAGCCTAGCATATAATAATTTGTAATTTCGCTAAAGTGAAAATAGGATGCCTACGTTTAATAAGAGTAGTATGTATACATAAGTTACTTCTCTGGTACTCAGAGCAAAAAGACTATCCACAACTGCATCCTATTAAGGCTTTATTGATTTCTATAGTTATCTTATATGAGATAATAGTTGTGAAGTGAGAGAAAATGCTGGTGCTGGTGTCAAAAGTGAACAGCTAAAGGTGTCTAAGAAAATCATGGTTCTAGGCCACAAAACAAATTTTGGACAAACCATTTCTTTAAATGTCAAATCTGGAGGCAGCTCGGATCTCTGATACATATGAGCATGTGTATGTGTAATCAAAAAGTGACCAGTGGAATGATGTCAATTATTGTCTTCTGCCAAACTCAGTCTGGGGAGACAAAATAACTAAATGCAATGTAGTTCTCTGGATTGGATTCTGAAGCAGAATGAGGACATGAATGGAAAAACTAATGAAATCCAAATAAAAATCTGGAGGTTAATAAACAGTAGTGTACCAACGTTGGTTTCTTAGTTCAGACAAATGGACCATAATAAATAAGATGCAACAATGGATAAAAGTGGGTAAGAGGTATATGAGAATTAGCTGTACTATCTTTGTCACTTTTCTTTAAATCTAAATTTAATCCAGGGGCGCCTGGGTGGCTCAGTCAGTTAAGCGTCTGCCTTTGGCTCAGGTCAGGATCCCAGGGTCCTGGGATCGAGCCCCGCATCAGGCTCCTTGCTTTGGCAGGGAGCCTGCCTCTCCCTCTCCCTCTGCCTGCTGCTCCCCCCATTTGTGCTCTCTCTCTCTCGCTATCTCTCTCTGTCAAATAAATAAATAAAATCTTTTTTTAATCTAAATTTCATCCAAAATAAAATGCTTACTCCAAAAAAATAACTAGACACAGGAGGAAATGAAATAACATTAGTAAAAACCAAGAAAAAGACAACAAAAACAGACATATTTAGTTATCAGACACACAGATTTTTAGATAAATATAGATATAAATATATTTACTGGGCGCCTGGGTGGCTCAGTCAGTTAAGCAACTGCCTTCGGCTCAGGTCACGATCCTGGAGTCCCGGGATCGAGTCCCACATCAGGCTCCCCACTTAGCGGGGTGTCTGCTTTTCCCTCTGACCCTCTTCCCTCTCGTGGTCTCATTCTCTCTGTCTCAAATAAATAAATAAAATCTTTAAAAAAAAAGAACTGCTGGGCACCTGGGTGGCTCAGTCGGTTAAGCGACTGCCTTTGGCTCAGGTCATGATCCTGGAGTCCCGGGATTGAGTCCCACGTCAGTGGGGGGGGGGGTCCCTGCTCGGCGGGGGGTCTGCTTCTCCCTCTGACCTTCTTCCCTCTCATGCTCTCTCTCTACCATTCTCTCTCTCTCAATAAATAAATAAAAATCTTTATTAAAAAAATTAAAAAATATATATATTTACTACATTTGGGGAGATGAGAGACAAGATTGAGAATGCTGACAAAGAACTGGAAACCATATAAAGAATAAAATGGTGTGCATCTGTCAATTGTTTTTAAGTTGAAAAGGGAAAATCAGTATCCATACAGCAGAAAAACCTGGAGAATACCTTGACTGGTCACCAGAATCACTAATGAATGACAGAAAGACACTGTCTGCTTCTGGTTGTGATGCCCCACAAAGAAAAAAACATACATTTAAGTAACATTCAGACCAGAGATACATACCCTGCATCTAATCATAAAAAAACAAAAACAAACAAACAAAAAAACACCACAAAATTAGGGGCATTCTGCTTATTTTCAAAGGGAGAGAGAGCCTTTATTCTACAAAACTGTCTAAAAAGGCAGAGAAACTACTTCAAATTGAATGAGAGTAAAAAGATATGACAAGTAATGCAATGCCTTATGCTGATGAGATCTTGGAAACAAAGGGGAAAATTCCACAAAGGAAATTACTGGGTAATTGACAAAATTTGGAAAATGGTAGATTAGATAAAAGCATTATATCGATGTTAATCTGTTTGAGATTGATAACTATACTGTGGTTATGTAAAAGAATCTCCTTGTCCTTAAGAAATACACACTAAAAGGGTCGCCTGGGTGGCTCAGTCAGTTAAGTGTCTGCCTTCGGCTCAGGTCATATCCTGGAGACCTGGGATTGAGCCCCGCATCAGGCTCCCTGCTCAGTGGGGAGCCTGCTTTCTCCCTCTTCCTCTGCCACTACCCCCTGCTTGTGCGCTCTCTGTCAAATAAATAAATAAAATCTTAAAAAAAAAAGAAAATGGAACAGGGTATTATACTAAGTGAAATGAGTCAGACAGAGAAAGACAAATACTATTTGTTTTCACTGATATGTGGAATCTAAAAGACAAAACCAACCAACCAAATAAACAAACAGAAACAAATTCACAAATACAGAGAACCAACTGGTGGCTGCCAAAAGGGAGGGGTTTGGGGGATGGGCAAAACAGGTAAAGGAGATCAAGAGGTACATACTTTCAGTTATAAAATTAATAAGTCACAGAGATAGAAAGTACAGTATAGTCAGTAATACTGTAATAATGTTGTATGGCAACAGATGGTGACTACACTTACCATGGTGAGCAATGAGTAGGTTGTATACCTGAAACTAATATAGCATTGTATGTCAACTGTACTTCAATAATTTAAAAAAAAAAAAAAAAGGGAAGAAAAAAAGAAAACCACTCCTAAGCACATCAGTATAAATCTAGAAAACTAAAAAAAAAGGAGAAAAAAGACAGATCACCTTTAAGGAAGCAGCAGACTAACAACTGACTTCTCACCAGAAATAATTCAAGGAGCCAGAAGACAATGAACTATATTTGAAAGTGCTGAAAGAAGATAACCGCCAACCTAGAATTCTACTCCTAGCAAAAATATCCTACAAAAAGCAAAGGCAAAATAAGGATATTTTCACATAAAGATAAGTAAATCTGCCACAGGAAGGAAATGATACAGAGTCTTCTCCAGACAAAAAAAAAAGTTATCCCATCTAGAAGAAAGTGAGGGATGAAGGAAGGAAAGAAAATCAATGTAGTGATCAAATATGTAGGTAAACCTAAATAGTGGTGACTACATAAAACAATAATAATGTCTTGTGGAGTTTAAAATACATACGCAGGTGAAAAGAATCTAATGCTCTTGTATTGTCCAAGAAAGTAAAAGTACCAATTGACATCAAACTTAAATTGATAACTGAATCTTTAAGGTAACCACAGAAAGAATTACAAGAATATGTAATTTCCAGGTCAAAAAGAAGAGCTATGGAATAATAAAAAATGTTTTTGATCAATCTAAAATAAAGCAAGAAAGGAAAAAGAACACAGAACAGGCAGGACAATTAGAAAGTACATTGTAATATGTTATATTTAAATCCAAATATATCATTGGTTGAATTAATGTGGATTAACCAACATCTCCCTTAAGAGAAAAAACTTGTCTGAATGAATAAAAGAAGAAAGCTCAATATATTCTATTAACAGTATAATCATATAGAAATGCTGAAAGTAAAAGAATAGAACAAATCATACTATGCAAACACTAATCAAGAAAAAGTTAGGATAGCTATAGTAATATTAGACAAAGTCAGCTTTCAAACAAAAGACATTATTAGAAATAAAGAGGACATCTCATTATGGTGAACAGTCAAATTCACCAGGAAGATAAAGCAATTCTAAATTTCAATGTATCTTATAAAATAGCCTCTAAATATATAAAGCAAAAACTGTCAGGAACAAGAAGGAGAAACAGACAATTCAATAATCCTAGTGTGAGATTTAATCATACCTTTCTCAGTAAATAATTTCTTTAAAATAAAAAAGGATCTAAAATATTTGAGTACCACCATTAACTAAACTGTGCCCAATAATTTCAGAATCCACATTATTTTCAGGTGAATCCAAAACATTCACCAAAATTGATCATATGCTGAACTATAAGGCAAATCTCAAAAACTATCAAAAAAATAACTTGTAAGATGCAGAAAAATTGGGAAACTGAAAAGATTAAAATATCTATAACCCATCAGCAGAAAACAAATATTTAGTACATCTCTCAACATTTCTCCAAAAGAGTATATATACAGTTTGTTTGTTTTGACCTTAAAAGCCTAAGAATTATCTCCTTATTCTTAAACCAACCTTTATAAACTTTATTTTAATGACTGTAGAAATCTAAAATTTGTATTTCACTTCCTGTACAACCCTCTGAGGATAGTTTGTTTTTATAGTCTCATTCCCCAAAGAGTGCCTAGGACTGAAATAATTTCACATGTTAATTCAAAAAGTAAATTTAGGTCTAGAAAGTTTTTAATAAGTAGTGCACAGAGGCATTACTCTCTCATGTATTTTAAATAAATATGTTTCCTCCACAAACTTTCCTTTATCTGACTGTTCTTGATAAGTATTCAAGTGTTCTTACCTCTTAATTAAGAGTATGACAGCCTAGAGGAATGTAAACTTTTTTTTCTAAATTAAATAAACCATTTAATAAATAAATATATAACGCTGTAGCATCAGTTCAGATCCCTAATAGAACTTCCCTTTCTAAAATATCACACAGAATAAATGTAACATAGTCACTTACCACTTGATCTGTTTTTACGACTCGATTTCCCTCCAGTAAGAAGCATCTTGAGACTATTCCGAAACATGGTTGTGCTGTTCTAGTACTCAAAAAAACTATAAAAGAAAAAATATGGGAAAATACGTTAGAAAACTTGATTTTCTACTCAAAATACTATTAATAATTAATTTTAAATGCACTATCAGGAACTATGTGTAAATATATAGTACAGAAATTTTAACAATTTGACAAAAACATCTAATTAATTTAACTTAAATACTGTAATACTTTGAGTACCCTAAGAGATAAAGGTAGATATCACTAAGGGTACAAAGAATGTACTCACCATAGAATAAAGTAACCATAGAATAAAGTAACCATAGATAAAGAATTGGGTAGCTATAAATACAGCCTACCCCTTCCCTGACTCTCCTATTCGTGGACAACTTTCCCATAGGCCCAACACACACATCCCCAAAGTTTAAGAGTCTAGAAACTTCCAGAAGGTGCATATTTTCCATTGACCAAGCCAGAATTCCACCTCAAAGACCACTAATATACATGAATGAGTGCCCATCCTCTTTATGTCCCACTTCTATCAAAAGGAAAATTCTTCCAGTTGTGCTTTGATTATGTCCTCTCTCACCTCCTCAGGGACTTTTAGCCAAAGACCATCTTCTTTTTCTTTCTCACACAGCTTTAATTTTTTTCTCCCTATTGAATCATTCCAATCGTAACAGAAACATGGTAGTATGTCCTAACCAAAAACAAATAAGCAAGTCCCTCTCTTTATTCCCACATGGTCCAATTACTGCTCCTATATCCTAACCCTTCATAGCAAAATTTCTGAAAAGTGTTGTCAGTACTTGGTGCCTCCAGCAGACTGAACAGAATAAACATGAACTAAAATGGAGGTTAACAAAAAATATCCAAACCAAAGCACTGAGAAATAAAGGTTGAAAAAAATGTGAGAGAATATGGAATCCACTGAAAGGTTCTACCATACATATCACTGAAATCCCAGAAGAAAGGAGAAAATAAGAAAGAACCAATATTTGAAATAATAACAACAAAGAATTTCCTAACATAAAGTCACATCTTTAAAGAGCTAGAGGAAAAAAATAAAAAATTTAAATAAGCAACAATCAACAGACAGAAATAACTTTCAACAGAAATTAAGAATGGCAGAAGACAATGGAATGACTTCCTAAAAATTCTGAAAGAAAACAGGCACCAATCAAGAAATCTATTCACAATTTTAAAATGTTTGAAATGAAAATGAAATAAAGGTGATTTCAGAAAAACAAACAATAATTTATCAGTAAAAGAAATACTAAAAGGGAGTTCTTCCAACAGAAGGAAAATGATACTAGAAAAAAAGCATGGAAATGCGAAAAGGAAAAGCCATAAAAAAGCTAAATGTTGGCAAACATGGATGAACAGTGACCATAAAAATAATTACTAGCTTGTTAAGTTTAAAATATATGTAGATTTAAAATGTGAAAACAAGAACAAAAAGATTCAGAACTGGGATAAATGGAGTTAAAAGTTTTTAAGATATCTGCATTATGCAGGAAGTGGCAGAAGTAATAATCTGCATCAGACTGCAATAACTCAAAATCAATGTAGTGATTTCTAGGATAGCCATTAAAGGTTAATTGAAGTGAGAAAAAGAATAATTAAAATATTTCATTGAACCAAAGAAGGTAAAAAGTGAGAGAAAAAGCATAGTGCACATCAATAAAATAAAAACAAATAGTAAGATTGTAGCTTTAAACTCAAATTATAGTTATCGTGTTAAATATTCACTCTACTATAAGACTACTTATGGTCATAGAAAGATTAAATATAAGATGATGAGAAAAAGCATATCATCCAAAAAACAATTAAAAGGAAGCTGTCATACCTATACCAATATCAGACAAAGTCAACTTAAGGCAATAAACACAACAAAAGATAAAGAGAGACATTTTTTTTTAATTTTTTATTGTTATGTTAATCACCATACATTACATCATTAGTTTTGGATGTAGTGTTCCATGATTCATTGTTTGTGCATAACACCCAGTGCTCCACGCAGAACGTGCCCTCTTTAATACCCATCACCAGGCTAACCCATCCCCCACCCCCCTCCCCTCTAGAACCCTCAGTTTGTTTTTCAGAGTCCATCGAAAGAGAGACATTTCTTAATAATTAAAAAGTCAAACCAACAAAAAGATATCATACTTCTAAGTATGAATGGACCCAATTAAAAGCTTAAAAATATACAAAGCAAAAATATACAAAACTAATAGAGGATATGGACAAATCCATAATCACATGGAAGACTAACACACCTTTGTCAATAGCTACAAGATCAAGCAGATGAAAAAAAGTTTTTGTAAGATACAAATTTGAACTACATAATTAACCAACTAGACTTAATATAGTGTATTCTTCCAAATAAAAACAGAATATACAAATTATACACAAAATACATACCAAAATGAACCACAGGCTGAGTCATAAAGCAAGTCTCAATACATTTCAAAGGACTTAAGTCTTTGAGAATATATTCTCTAACTACAAGGCAATTAAGCTAGAAGTGAGTAATTTTTAAAAATTGAGAAACTCCCCTACTGCTTGAAAATTAAGTGACATACTTCTAAATAACATATGAGTCAAAAAATAAAAGTATATAAATCACAATGGAAATTTTAAAATATTTGCAATAAATTATAATGAAAATATAAATTATGGAAACATTGAGAATGAAACTAAAACAATGCTTATAAATAAATGTAGAGAAGAATGCATTATTAGAAGAGAAGGATGAAATCAGGATCTAAGCTTCTATTTCAAAAAGTTCAAAACAAACAGCAAATCAAAGAAAGCAAAAGGAAAGAAAAAGAGTAGAAATGAATGAAATAGAAAACAAATCCCAAACAGATAAAATCAATGAAGCAAAACATTCGATTTCTGAAAAGTAGTAAAATTAATAAATCCCTAGCAAAGCTAATCAAAAAAAAAAAAGAGAGAGACAGAGACAGAGACAGAGAGAGAAACTGCCAACATTAAAAAGGAATACGGGACACCATTTCAGAACCAAAGGCTGTTTTAAGTAAGTAGATACTATAACAACTTTACACCAAATTTAATATTTTACATAAAACAAATTCTTTGAAAAATACAACTTATCAAAACTGACCAAAAATTGAGCAGAAAATCTGAAGCACCCCTATCTCTATTAAAGAAATTGAACTTATCAAAACTCCTCCCAGAAAGAAAACTACAGGGCCAGATTATTTCACTGGTGAAGTCTACTGTTTAAAGGTACAAACAATACCAATTTTATACAGTTTCCTTAATAGAAGGAATACTTCCAAACATATTTTATGAAGGCAGTATGATCTTAATTCCAAAACCTAACAGAAATTACAAGAAAAGAAAATTATAGACCACATACCTCATGAACATAGACTCAAAAACCCTTAATAAAAGACACTGAAAACTACAAAAGTTACTTTAAAAAATTAAAGAAAACTTAAACAAGTAGAGATATACCATGTTCATAGAGTGGAAAGTTCAATATTGTCAAAATGTTGATTCTCTCTATAATGTCCTAAAGAGACAACAAAACCTCAAATTCCAGCAGGTATTTTTTTTGTAGAAATTGAGCAGCTCATTCTAAAATGCATATGGTAATACAAAGAGCTTAGAACATCCAAAGCCATCTTGGAAACTAACAAAAAAGCTGGAGCATTTATATGACCTGAACTCAAGACTTACTCTATATCTCCAGAAATCATGACAGTATGGTTCTCTCATAAGTATCATCAGGCAGATCAGTGACACTGAATAGGTAGTCCAAAAAAAGATCTACACTTACATGGTCATTTTTTTGGACCAAGTCATTAATGAGTACAGAGAAGTCTTTTCAACAAGTGGTGGTGGAATAGATATTCATTTTTTAAAAAATTATCCCTAATCTGTGCTTCACACTATATATGAAAATTAATTCAAAATAAATCAAGAGTCAAACAACACATGAAAGCTAAAATCATAAAGCTTTTAGAAGAAAACACAAGAGAATATCAAAAAAAAAAGAGAATATCCTTATTATTTAGAGATAGGCAAAGAATTCTTAGAACACAGAAAGCAATACCCATAAAAGAAAAAATGGATATATTTGGGCTTTATTAAAATTTTTAAAAACATCTGCTCATAAAAAATAACATAACCAAAATGAACAGGCAAGTCACAAACTGGGAGAAATTATTCACAAAACATGTATCTAACATAGAACTGATATCCAAGATATATTAAGAACACCTACAACCCAACAAAGAGACAATCACATTTTTTAATGGGTGAAAGATTTGGACACTTATAAAAAGTTTATGAATGGCCAACACACATATTGAAAGAGATTAACACTTTCCCAATTTGTCACTGGGAAAATACAAATTACAATGAGCTACCACTATACTCCACCAGAAAAGCAAACTTTTGAAAAACTGATAATATCAAGTATTGACGAGGATGAAGAGCAACTGAAACTCTTAATATACTGTTTTCAGGGGTATAACAGTACAAGTGCTTTAGGCAGAAGTCTAGCGGTTTATTATAACGCTAAGCATATTCCTAACATAGGACTCCACACATTACAAATTTACCCAGGAGGAATTAAAACATATGTGCATAAAAAGATTAATGTAACAATTTTCACAGCAGCTTTATTTATAACAGCCCAAAGTAGCCCACGTGTCCATCAATAGGAAAATGGATAAACTGTGGGATTTTCATATAGTTAGATACTACTCAGCAATAAAAAGGTATGAACTATTCGTATATTAAACAACAGATAAATCTCAAAATATAATATGCTGAATAAAAGAACCTTACATAAAAGTGTATGCAGTAATCTATGGTAGAAAAAAAATCAGAATAATGGCTGTCTCTTGGGGGTAAATGTGAGGATTAACTGAGAAAAGGCACAACGAAACTTTCCAAGATGATGGTAAATTCTGTATCTTGAAGAAGTTTGGAATACACAGATGTATGCATTTGTCAAAATTCAGCAAATGTTCACATCAGATTTATGAATCA